GTGGTAATTAGTACACTTAGTTTACTACACCAGTGAAGAATGCTAAGAACCAGTCTAGGATTCAACTAGTTACAGTCTTAGACCTGAGTCTCCTAGCTCTCTTCCTTCACTTTCAATTCTAAAAATGTTAATTCACAATTCTTCCTAAGCAAGATGAGCTGACCCTGTCAAACCTCCTTGATATACTTCATCATAAACAGTACTCTCATCCCAAAAAGTATCTCAAGTAGATTAATGATAAGTGAGATTCTGGAGAACCGAGCTGCCATATTCTGAGGGTAGAGCCTGGAAATACATTCTTCAGAAGGTCTTTAAATGGCATGGCTGACTACACCAGGAAATATTCCTGTCTTAAATCTAGACAGGCCAAGCAATGTGGCTCATGCCTGTAATCCCAGCACTTTGAGAGGCCGAGGTGGGTGGATCACCTGAGCTCATGAGTTCGAGACCAGCATGGGCAACATGATGACTCCCCATTTCTACAAAAAAAAAAAAAAATTGGTCAGGCACAACGGCCTGAGCCTGTAGTCCCAGCTACTCCAGAGGCTGAAGTGGGAGGATGGCTTGGCTCAGGAGGCAGAAGCTGTAGTGAACTGAGATCACACCACTGGGCCACATAGAGAGACCCTGTCTCAAAAAATAACAAACCCAAATAAAGTCTATATATTCACCTGCAGGGACAGCCATGGTATAGTTGAAAAGGCAAGAAACCGCAACTTTTTGGTTAAAGAATTTTTTGGGGAAAATTCTTGTGTTTATTCGTACATGCTAAAGGAAAACAAAAGGCATGGAATGATTCCAAATAATGTGTTATCAGCAAAGTGAGGTTCCAGGAGAGATGAGTATTTCCTTTACTCCTCTTTTTGGTATAATGAACGTTTTCCTTGCAATTTTTAAAAGTCAATCTATTTGAAAAAATACTCTCCGCAACTTAGTACAAACAATTTAACAAGAAATCAGCTAGTCTTGCATAACACTTGCTAAGATCCCTATCTTCTCTGGTCTAGTGTCTCGTGTTTTTTAATGGAGTAGAAGCAATCATTGATCACTACGCCAAAATACATACATGAACCTGTTTTCGTATGCTGAACTGCTGTAACAGCCTGTTATTAACTATGACATGTACACAGGGTAAGTCATAGATTTTTCTAAACCATGCCTAGCATGACACAGCATGCAAATGACACAACTTTCATAAAATTTTCCCCTCTGCCACCAAAATGGTGGTCAACTCCCTGAAGCTCATGTTTTTTAACCCAAAAATGACACAATTCCCATTACAGTATTAAGCACTGTTTATTGGAACAGACCTGATTTTCTATAACCTTGAAGACTGAAGTACACAAAACCTCTCAAAAACGGTTCAGCAAGTTAGAAATGCTTACCTTGGATATAATAGCCATCTCTCAGTCCACCGAATTTCTCCTGGCCGGCTGTGTCCCACACATTGAACTTAATGGGTCCTCTGTTAGTGTGGAACACTAGGGGATGAACCTCAACACCCAAGGTGGCTGAAACGGAAACGATGCCATTGAGTGGACGCATTTACCCACTTCTCACCATGTCCACAGACAAGGTTTTCCCGCACATACCTACATACTTCTTCTCAAATTCACCAGTCAAATGACGTTTCACAAAGGTCGTTTTTCCGGTACCACCATCACCAACCAACACAAGCTGTTGGAGAACACACTTTGGAAGTAAACCCCAAACACTTCCCCTCTCAAGACCCCAGAGTCACGGAACCGTAACCGCCACCACTTAAAACAAAGAATGTGGATGCGGGGCCCGCTACAGCCATCGTGGGCCCGGGAGGAGGGACCCGCGAGGCGCACGCGGTCCGGCCCGGCCGCCTCCCGCCCTGCAGGGTTACCTACTTTAAACTGGACCTGGGGCTCTCCCTGCGCAGCCATCGCGGCGTTCCTGCGGAGGCAGAGGACGGAGACGAGCGCTCGCGCGGCCCCGCAGCCCATCGCGGCCCCGCTCCCGCGCCCCCCGCGCCCCACGTGCCCGCCCCACAAAGGCCTCCCGCCCGCGGCGCCATGGCGGCCGGGCCTGGGAGCGGGAAGGCGGCGGGCGGGGCCGGCATCCGGGTCGGCGGGACCCGAGAAACGACGGACGGAGGGGTCGGGATGGAGACGAGACCGGGACCGGGACCGGGATGGGAGCGGAGGATGAAACCGGGGTTCGCGGGGGCGGGCGCCGACCCCACGCCCGTCTCTTGCCCCGGCCCGGCCGGGCCCGCGCCACCCACCTACTCACAGCCGCTCGCTGCCCCGGGGCCGGCCACCAGCCCGGGCCCTGACCCCGGCCACGGCCCCTGTCCCGCCGCCGCGGCCCCCGTCCCCACCCGGCGCTGCCCGGCCAGCCGCGTCGCTACCTTCCAGAAGCGTCTCCGCGCCCGTCCGACTGAGGCTGGAAAGATGGCGGAAGCGCAATTCAAACGCCGGAGACGCAGCCGACGCCGGCGCGCGGGCAGGGGCGGGGCAGGCGCGGGGCGGGGCTGACAAGGGGCGGGGGCAACGGCGCGGCGCCCGCCCACGTGGCCCGCGCGTGCGCGCACGCACGCAACCCGGCTCGGTTGGCCGCTCCCGCGGTCCCAGAGCATAGGGTGGGGCAGTAGGCGCGGTGGACCGCGTGGGAGGGCAAGGCGGGAGCGCGCACGCGCGCCGACCCGCGGGTCCCACGTGCGCCGACACCCAGGGCGGGCTCCCGGGCGCGCATGCGCCAACAGTGAGGCGGCGCGCTCATGGACCGGAGATGCTGGGCGCGGCCAGACAAGCGCGGCTCTGCGGCCTCCCCGGCGGGAGGCGGGATTCGCTCGGGCAGACGCGGTCAGGCGCGCGGCTTCCAGGCGCTGGCCAGCCTGTTGTTTTCTGCGCCCCATGGGGTGAGGGTACTTAGAGTCCCGGGGCGTAGGGTGAGCGCAGGACGGGTAGGTGACAGAATGAATGAATGAATGAATGGGTCCTAGGCCGGGGTCAGCCCGCGCCTGTCTCCCCAGAGCTTAGCTTTCACGCCCCCAGGCCCAGGGGCAGTTGGAGAGCGAGGCATCAGAGAGGGATGCGCCCAGCCAGGAAAACAGGTACTTATTTCCCTTGAGACGCAGTCCCGCTGTATTGCCCAGGCTGGTCTCGAACTGCCAGGCTCACACAATCTTCCCGTCTCGGCCTCCGAGTAGCTGGGCCTACAGGCGCACACTACATCCGGGCTAATTTTGTTTTTTAATTTGAGACACAGGATCTCACAGTGTCTGCCAGTCTGGCCTCAAGGGATCCGCCCTCTTCGGCGTCCTAAAGCGCTGGGATTGCAGATGCAGTCACCGTGCCCGGCCATAGCATCCCTTCTCGCAGCGTTTCACAGGTCGGCAGCCATGGCGGCCGCGTCCTGCAAACGAAATGATGAAATTTTGTTTGCAATATGGGCGGGTCTTCCAGCGCTAGTTACCATCGGGGGCGGAGGGAGGAAGTGCTCGGGCTCCCAGCCCCCTGTGGGGCTGAAGCTGTGAAGAGCTCAGGCCAGGTTGAGCTAGAGGGACCCACAGGGCCTTCCTGGGCGCCTCTGCCGACATGCAGACAGATAAAGGCCCAAATCAGCGCAGTCAAACGCCTCAGAAAAGAGATCCCCGTGGGGAAAGAGCCCCAGGGACCGAGGGGTCCGCCCTGCAGTCACGAGCACATTTGGCGAGTCCGGTGGGAACCCCAGTGACGCAAACTGCACAAGGCGGGCGAGAACCGGCCTGCTGGAAACCCAAGTCCGAGCTCCCCCAGGACCCTCAGGGGAGCGCCAACCACCTCTCAGACGCTGCTGGTGGGAGAGCAGAATCTAACAGCAAAACGGGAATGCCCATTGCTTGTGACCCTGGATTTCCGTTTCTCGGGAGAGGCCCTGAGGTGAAACTCATGCCTCCTGCATGTGCACAACATTTAATGCTATAGAACATTGAAAAGGGAAGATGGTTATCTGTCTGAACAGGTTAGACAGATGTCAAAAGGATAATGTTGAGAAAAGTGATAATCGCTTTATAAAGCCTAGGCCACCTGTAATCTCAGCACTCTGGGAGCCCGAGGTAGGAGATCCCTCAAACCCAGAAGTTCCAGGCTGCGGTGAGCAATGACCGCACCATTGCATTCCAGCCTGGGAGACGGACCAAGACCCTGTCTTCAAATATGAATACATAGGCCAGTCGCGGTGGCTCACTCCTGTAATCCCATCACTTTGGGAAGCCGGGGTGGGCGGATCACATGACGTCAGGAGTTCGAGACTAGCCTGGCTAACATGGTGAAACCCCGTTTTTACTAAAAATACAAAAAATTAGCCAGGCGTGGTGGCATGCGCCTGTAATCCCAGCTACTTGGGAGGCTGAGGCAGGAGAATGGCTTGAACCTGGGAGGCGGAGAATGGGCTGAGATTGCACCATTGCACTCCAGTTTGGGCAACAAGAGCGAAACTGTCTTCAAAAAAAAAAAATCAATATGTAAAGCCTAACACTATATGTAATTTTACCTAGAGGGAATATATATATATATATATATATATATATATATATATATATACACATATTTATAGCATAATGCCATTTATATAATATTTTTACAAATACACATAGAACAAAAGCATATTGGTCATTTTAAAAAAAGCATTTTTTTAATTGACTGCGAGGATCTATACACTGTATCCTGATGGTTATTCAAGAAAGGGTAGAAAGGAGTGTGATGGAACTGAGCATAGGAGTCAAACAAGACTTTACCTACAATGTTCTATTTTTTTCTTCTTTTTTTGAGACAGAGTCTCTCTTTGTTGGTCAGGCTGGAGTGCAGGGGCGCGATCTGGGCTCCCCACAACCTCGACCTCCCAGGTTCAAGCGATTCTCCTGCCTCAGCTTCCTGAGTAGCTGGGATTACAGGCCTGCACCACCATGCCCGGCTATTTATTTATTTTGTTTATTTTTTGTATTTTTAGTAGAGACGGGGTTTTATTATGTTGGGACAGGCAATCGAGTGGTCACTTCGGCAGCACGTATACCAAAATTGGAATGATACAGAGGAGAATTGCATGGCCCCTGCACAAGGATGACAATTTTGTTTTTTGAGATGGTGTCTTGCTCTCGTCACCCAGGCTGGAGTACAGTGGTGCAGTCTTGGCTTACTGCAACCTCTGCCTCCCGGGTTCAAGCGATTATCCTGCCTCAGCCTCCTGAGTAGCTGGGACTACAGGCAACTGCCACCACACCCGGCTAATTTTTGTATTTTTAGTAGAGATGGGTTTTCACCATGTTGGCCAGGCTGGTCTTGAACTTGTAACCTCAGGTGATCTACTCGCCTCAGCCTCCCAAAGTGCTGGAATTACAGGTGTGAGCCACCGTGCCTGGCCTTGCAGAGTATTTTATAGGCCAGGTATTTTGTACACTGTCGTTTCATTTGTATTTCTCTGATACTTCCTCATCATTAGATACAGCTCATGCAGTTTGGGTAGAGAAACCACAGAATGATGTTGTGTCCTTCTTAGTGTCTGATCAGGAGGCACAGAGTGGATCTGTTTGTTTTTTAGCGACAGGGTATTTCTCTGTCACCCTGATTGGAGTGCAGTGCTGTGAGCATGGCTCACTGCAGCCTAGAACTCCTGGGGTCAAGTGATCCTCCCACTTCAGCCCCCCCAACAACCCCCCAAGTAGCTGGGACTGCAGGCACGCACCACCACACCCAGAATTTTTTTTACTTTTTTGTAGAGCTGGGGTCTTGCTATATTGCCCAGTCTTGTCTCAAACTTCTGGCCACAATTTTCCTCCCTTAGCTTCCCAAAGTTTTGAGATAACAGGCTTGGTCCAGGCCCAGAGTGAGCCTTTAAAACCGTATCAGATCATCCTCCTCCACCGTAAAACCCTGCAGTCATTTCCTGTTTGTCTCACTTAGATCTGTGAAATCTAGCCAGGGAGGTCCCATGGGCTCTAGCTCATTTCTACCTCTTCTACCTCGGCTCCTGCCTCTCCCTGTAGCCTCACAAGCATTGCCGTATCTTACCCCAGCCAAATTTGTTCCTGCCACAGGACCTTTGCACTTACTGGTTAATTCTCTTCCTTTGGCCAGGTGCAGTGGCTCACGCCTGTAATGCCAGCACTGGGAGGCTGAGGTGGATGGATCACTTGAGGTTCAAAGTGCAAGACCAGCCTGGCCAATGTGCTGAAACCCCATCTCTACTATAAATACAAAAATTAGCCCGGCATGGTGGCATGCATCTGTAATCCCAGCTACTTGGGAGGCTGAGGCGGGAGGATCACTTCAGCCTAGGAGGTGGAGGCTGCAGTGAGCCATGATTGTGCCACCGCCAGCCTGGGCAACTGAACAAGACCCTGCCTCAAATAAACAAACAAAATGCTGTTCCCCACACATCTTGGCCTGACGGGCTCCTTCTCACACTTCAGGCCCCTGACCACCCCCAGGCCTCTGCCACCTCAGCACTCATTTTATTTTCTTCAGAGCACTTATTGAGAACATATTGCTTAATTGTTTACATGCTTGTTTTTAAATCTTTCATTCCTTCACTAAAATAAGTGACATACCATGTCATGATATTCAAAGTATCTAGCACAGTGCCTGTCACATAATGTATGCTTAAAAAATATTTATTGAAATATTGAATGAATTACTTTTTCTGTTGTGTTTTTGGTTTTCAGAGGCACAGTCTTGCCATGTTGCCTGGGCTGGAGTACAGTGGCATGATCGTAGCTCACTGCAGCCTCCAACTCCTGGCCTCAAATGAACCTCTTGTCTTAGCCTCCCAGGTAGCTTGGATTACGGGTGTGTGTGCCTCCTGAGTGAATTACTCCTGACCCTTCTACGCGCAGGAAGGGGAATTCGACACAGCAGCGTTCTATTCTAATAATAAATATGCAGGCCTATTGAATGTTAATAATGGTACCTCATGGCAAAGACTAATCTTTGCACACACTGTACTCCGGCCTGGGTAACAGAGCGTGACCCTGACTCACAAAATTTTTTTTTAATTTAAAAATAAGGGCTGGGTGCAGTGGCTTATGCCTGTAAACCCAGCACTTTGGGAGGCCGAGGTGAGGGGATCACTTGAATCGAGAAGTTCAAGAGTGGCTTGGGCAACATAGTGAGGCCCCATCTGTATATTTTTTTAAGTTTCTAATAAAATTTTTAAATAAAATTGTTTATAATCTTTTTAACTTTTATTGTTTTTTAGACGGAGTCTCACTCTGTCACCCAGGCTGGAATACAGTGGCACAATCTCGGCTCACTGCAACCTCCACCTCCTGGGTTCAAGCGATTCTCCTGCCTCAGCCTCCAGAGTATCTGGGATTACAGGCACGCATCACCATGCCTGGCTAATTTTTGTATTTTTAGTAGAGATGGGTTTTCGCCATGTTGGCCAGTCTGGTCTTGAACTCCTGACCTTGGGTGACCCACCCACCTCGGCCTCCCAAAGTGCTGGGATTACAGGCATGAGCCACCATGCCCAGCCTGTAGTATTTTTTTAATTTAAAAAAAGTGAAAAAAAAATATTTTTAAAACAAAAAAAATAAAGATGAGAACAGTGCTGAGTGTACTCTTCGGTGGCCCATACTAAACAGAATCTTCTAGGCTGTTGTCTGACCTGTGCTGGATGGGTCACAACATGATTTATATCTGAGCTCACTGACAGCATTTTAAGATTTGATGGTTTTATGTCTAGAAATTCTTTGATCCCTCTCCATTGAAAAGGTTGATTCCAATGAATGTCTCCTTGTGTGTGAGCTGGACTTGGCGACTTATTTCTAACAAGCGGAATATGTCAGAATTGACAGTGTGTTACTTTGGAAACTAGGTCACAGAGGCTGTGTGCCTAGAATCACTCTGTGGGGACCCAGTCACCATATTATGAGGACAAACACAGCCCTACAGACAGGTTCTTGTGACAAGAATCTGAAGTCCCCTGCAAAGACGCTGTATAAACCTGCCAGCCAGCCAGGTGTGGTGGCTCATCCCTGTAATCCCAGGACATTGCGAGGCCAAAGCAGGAGAATCACTTGAGCCCAGGAGTTTGAGTCCAGCCAGGGCAACATAGTGAGACCATCTGTACAAAAAATTAACATAAAAAAATTTAGCTCGGCACGATGAGATTGGCCCACAGACCCAACGACTCAGGAGGCTGAGGCCAGAGTATTGCTTTGGGCCCAGGATGTGAAGGCTGTGGTGAGCTATGATCCTGCCACTGCCCTCCAGCCTAAGAGAGAGACCCGGTCTCAAAAAACCAAAACGAAACGAAACAAGAACACCTGCCAGCCACATGAGTGCGCCATCCTGAAATCATATCTTCCAGCACTGGTCAAATCTTCAGGTGACTGTAGCCTTAGCTGACACCTCACCTGCAAATTCCATGAGACCTGAATCCAGTTAAGTCACACAGAAACTGTGAGATAAAAAGGGTTTTATTGTTGTTTCAAGCCATTAACTTTATTACACAGTAATAGATAACTGATATAAAAGATAAGGGTATTTCACATAAAATCTAGGTATCTGGATTCCTTTGAAAATCATAATAAGAGGCCAGGTGCGGTGGCTGACGCCTGTAATTCCAGCACTTTGGGAGGCTGAGGTGGACGGTTGATGAGGTCAGGAGATCAAGACCATCCTGGCTAACATGGTGAAACCCCGTCTCTACTAAAAATACAAAAAATTAGCTGGGCATGGTGGCACACTCGTATAGTCCCAGCTACTCAGGAGGCTGAGGCAGGAGAATTGCTTAAACCTGGGAGGCGGAGGTTGCAGTGAGCTGAGATCGCGCCACTGCACTCCAGCCTGGGCGACAGAGTGAGACTCTGTCAAAAAAAAAAGAAAGAAAGAAAATGGGCCAGGCATGGTGGCTCACATCTGTAATCCCGGCACTTTGAGAGGCCGAGGTGGGCTGATCACGAGGTCAAGAGATCAAGACTTCTTGCCAACATGGTAAAATCCCATCTCTACTAAGAATACAAAAATAGCTGGGCATGGTGGTATGCACCTGTAGTCCCAGCTACTTGGGAACCTGAGGCAGGAGAATCACTAAAACCCGGGAAGCAGAGGTTGCAGTGAGCCAAGATCATGCCACTACACTCCAGCTCTGGCGACAAAGTGAGACCACGTATCAAAAAAAAGAAAATCATAGTAAGATTGAGAGGCCTTGAGTCTCATTTCTTGCGTGGCTACAACCTTCTGGAGGTATATAGCCGCTGCCCCCACAGACGGGGCAAACACTGCCAGCTGCCATTGCACCCCGCCTGCCATTCCCTATTGAATCTCAGACACAGGCCCCATGCCATTTGCCCCTTGTCATCTGATGCTCAGGCTGTTCTGTGTGTTTGCTTACCTGCCTGAGCCCTGAGTTGTTTGAGTTAGAAAACTCTACTGAGCGGAAGATATAGGAATGAAAAATTCATGGATATATTAGTTCATCCGCCTAATTAATATTAATTGAGCAACTGCTGTGTACCAGGCACTCTCCAGGGACTGGGACATTGAATAAAACAGACAGAAAATGAACCTGCGAATTAAGTAACATCTATGAAATCGTGGTGATTACTAAGGTGAAAAATACAGCATTAAAGAAAATTCAGGCCAGGCTCGGTAACCACCAATGTCATCCCAGCACTTTGGGAGGCCAACGCAGGTGGATCACTTGAGGTCAGGAGTTCGAGACCAGCCTGGGCTACATGGTGAAACCCCGTGTCTACAACAAATACAAAAGGGAGCCGGTGTGGTGGTTTGTACCAGTATCCCAGCTACTTGGGAGGCTGAGACAGGAAAGCTGCTTGAGCCCGAAAGACAGAAGTTGTAGTCAGCTGAAATCATGCCACTGCACTCTAGCCTGGGTGACAGAGAGTGAGACTGTGTGAAAAAGAACATACTGGTCAGGCACGGTGGCTCACGCCTGTAATCCCAGCACTTTGGGAGGCTGAGGCAGGCGGATCACCTGAGATCAAAAGTTTGAGACCAGCCTGACCAACATGGAGAAATCCCGTCTCTACTACAAATACAAAATTAGCCAAGCCTGGTGGCACGTGCCTGTAGTCCCAGCTACTCTGGAGGCTGAGGCAGGAGCATCGCTTGACCCTGAGAGGCAGAGGTTG